TTTAAAAGTAACGAAATGACATACATCAAAAATTAATGTTATTCCATATTTTAGACGTCTTTGTAAATACGAATACGAAAATGAACTTCCGCGGAAATGCGATGTTGCCATTTTTTTGAATAGGGTTTAGAAGTAACGAAATGAGATATATAAAAAATTAATATTATTTTATAATGTAGACTTATTTTTAAGCACCGATACAAAAATGAAAATCCGCGAAATGCCTTTTTTCACCACTATGCAGTGATCTTCTTCCCGACCTTTGACACAGATCAATGAATAATATCTATTCTTATCAACTTAATATCGCTATGGTCAATAAATGCGAAAATTTAAAAAAAATTGTCAATAAGGCATAAAAACGACAACTAAACCAAACCAAACCCTAAAAAAACAACCAAATCAGACCAAACCAACTAAACCCACTACAACCAAATCCAATAAAAACAACCAAACCAAACCAAACCGAAACTATGCAAAAAAGTAGAGAATACTATGGAAAACTTCGAAATATTGAAGATTTTCCATTACACCGCACTTATGTTACATTTCCGCGGAAATAGTTATATAGAAAAGTTATAGAAAATTATTAATCAAACAAAAATATGTAGTTTTTATCTTCCTATCACATTTCTGCGCTTCTAAATCCGGAAAAATCAATGAAAATTATTGTAATAAAAATATATTTTTGAATAAAAATTAGTTCACATCGTTGAATTAAATGTTTTTACGTCATTCTATAATGAAAAAAAACTTTTAAAAACACCGTAAAGTTTTAAATTTTAGTTAATAATAGAAAAATTAAAAATTCGAGTTTACTCAAAAACAAAGAATTTCCGCGGCAAAAATCAAATTACGTAGTGCTAGTTTTCTTGTATAGAATCATCCTATAAACCGATATTCTATGTAACTGATTTCTGCTAAACGAAACTTTAGCCATTTTTTAATCGGATAATTCGCGAATTATTCGATTAAAACACGAATTGACCAATAGAGACAGTTCTAGCTAGGAAAGGAGCGAACACTCCACTAACTGGACCAGAACCGTTCTGCTTTCCAAGTGGTAACCAACTCAAGGCGGAACTCAAGAACTTGGAAGATTCCATCCGCAACCTGGAATGGAAATCTTGCAACGGTCTAAGACACTCGAAGAAGTTTCTGAGGGCTTATGATCAAGAAAAATCACAGATCTTCCTGGGTTTAAGTAAGAACAATCTTCGGATTGTCACGGGGTTTTTAACAGGACACTGTCTCCTCAATGAACACCTCAATAGATTGAAACTAAGAAGAAACGGCGAATGCAAATTCTGTGGGGAAGATGGGGAAACACCAGTACACCTCATCACTGAGTGCGCCGAGACGACAACCATTCGTGCCATGAATTTTGGTACGACTGATATTGGAGATGGAGAACTACCCTCTATAAAGCCGTCCCAGATACTGGCTTTTGTCAAAGCCCTGGGACTGTATGATGAGTTATGACTCAAGAAAGGGGGACACAATGGATCTGTAAGGTCGCAGTGATTAACCCCCCTCCCACTCATTCTAAATTTTAAATACAGACAGTTAAGAAACAAATATATTTTAGAAATATTCGCAAATTATCCGGTTAGAACGCGAATTATACAATACCATTGGTTGAATTATACAACACTTGGCTATTTCGCGAATTAGCCAGATAATAAATATGTTAAGCGCACGATTAATATCACATTTATATGCGTATGCAGGTAATGAGATGCAATTTTATTACATAAATTTTACCATTTATTTTGAAAACTTCAAGTAACAAATCTTTGCCAATCTAGCAATTTTTTTCCATTCTTAAAAATAAAACAAAAAACAGGCAGATGCGTACCTATTTTAAGCACATTCTGCTTATTAGGACAGAATAGGCTCGAATTACGTAATAGATTTTTAGAGGCTGTACTTTTTGCCTGCTTAACACATTCAATTATGTTTTTATAATCATCACAGTTTAAATAGCCTATTTTATCACTTTATAACTGCGATTTTCAAAAAGTCTCCATTAAAACACATCTTTAACCTGTTTAAGTTTTCTACCATACGATCGAAAAAAAAACGGCGTCAAAGACGGCTAGGGAATGACAACTAAAAATAATTTTGGTACTTGACTCTGTTCTATATTTTTTAATGGCACTTAACAGCCAGTTGGCATTAAGAAGATTGTAATTTATTTTTATATTAAATACAAATTATTTTTAAATGGCGTAGTTTAAAATTCGGGAAAAAATAATTTTTAGGAAATAAATTCGTGGGCCTGGAAAAGTTCTATCCTTTTTTAATCTTCCTATAATTAGTGTTAACTTTTGACAAGTTTTGTGTCAATTTTTATTAAATTAAGTCGTCAAAATTATCATTGATTGTCATTTCCTAGCCGTCTTTGACACCTTTTTTTTCGCTCATGCGGTATATTGTTACCCTTGTTGATAAAAGATACAATACTAACACAATAAATATTTTATACGATTGCCCTTATGCGAAAGTAACACATATTCGGGTTTTATCTATCGCGTGTAGCTAATTCTCGATTTAACCGGATAATTCGCGAATTAGCTAATTTCGCATATTACCCGTAACATACATAAATACCCTGATTAAGAAGGACCCTAAAAGACAATAATCAAGTTAACTCTCTTCAAGTTACTTCTTTGTGACACCCTGTTAATATATTTTTCTTAAGAGTCTATTAGGCTCAGGGGCGGATACAGCAAATTATTTTAGGGGGGGGGCCAAAATAAAAAGCAATGTATAATATGCTTTTTAGGGCGCCATTTTTAACCCAAAAGCCTAATATTTTACACAATTTACAGATTTTAGGGGGGGCCAGGGTCCGATGGGATTATCTTCTATCCCATTACCTTCTATCTTTTGGTTGGTTGGCACCTAGAGTAAAAGTACTTTCCAGGACGAAATATCAAGCCCGGACCTGTTTTCTATTCTCTTTTTTTTTCTGTTTAGGGTCAAGTTAAGTGCGGAGGACCTCGGGCAAATTACCTTGTCATAATTAGCTTAATGCCAACTCTAGCGTGAAATTATACATCGCATATTTGAAGTGAAGGACTTTCAACTACACCTCTAGAGGGTCTTGAAGGCGTAGAAAATATGCAAATAGCATGTCCCTCTCAAGGGCAAATGTAACCGCACTTATGTTTTTACGACTTGGGATTGTTGAAGAAGGAGAAGTAAAAAACACTGGAATATTCTAATTGAATTGACTCTACTGTTACTTTGTGGAATTTCATATTCAAACGGAAAATTAAGCCAAACCAAACCTTAATTAATTGCCAATATTTCTAGGAATAGTATACCTTGTTGATTTAAAAAAAAATGGGAAAAGCTTTTAGTTAAAATACATAATTTTTTGATAATGTGGCAACATAGGTAGTAGATTAAATTTACAAGAAATAAAACCCAGAAAAGATCCAGTGGTTCTCAAAATTTAAACAAAAAATAATTTTTTCTTTGGACATTTTCAAAGTAAATTAACTCCTTTATTAAACGGTTTTATTTAGCTCGACCCGTACGGTATTTATTTATTTGTTTGTTTAATTGGGTCAAAATTAGAAATTGAAATTTAAGTACCTTCCTGTTGTCAGATTGATCTGAAATTTGGTTCCAACCTTTAGTTCCGATGACAATACAATATAGTAATATCAATAACATTCCAGCAGGTGTAAATCTAAGATGGCCGCCGGTACAAAATGGCGGATTTCATATTTCTCCACAACCCCCTCAATATGGATATCAAATGAAAGGGCTACACTAGTAGAATACTGTGATTATGACAAAATTTAAAATCCAAGATGGACGTCGTTACAAAATGGCGTATTAGGTGAGGGCATGAGTAGACGTGTCCAGAACAGTTGTGTCCAAGATTGTCTGACGTTAGAAGGACAGATAAAAAAAATAGGTGATTAGATGTACCTACGTAGTTAGCGGTAGCTTTACCACCCAAGTTAAGGTAATAGGTTAAAACGTGCTGAGCGTAATGTCGCAAGCGTTTTCCCCTCAAGATTGGGCGCCTCTTGTTGTATATTATAGCCTTGCCTCTCTACTGAACCTCTGGGGGGGGGGGTTTGGTCTAGCATCACAACGTGACAGACAGAGAGAGTTGTTAGCGGCAGAAACACCTGAGCGTCATGAGTCTAGGCTAGCATGAGAACGCGACAGACAGAGAGAGTTGTTAGCGTCAGAAACACCTGAGCGTCAGATTGTAATAAATTATCAGGTAAAAACCATGTAATAATGATGCACTAAATGAATTAAATAGAATGAGGAATATTCGGTAGGCATTTTCGTTAAATACTAAAAACTAGAAAATAAAAATCGGTAAAAAAACTTTTAAGTTAAACGGTTTTATCTTATGTGCACTGAAAACTAGAAAATAATAATAACAATTAGGTATTTTGAACTTCTAGTTCAGAAATATTTTAGTACTAGGCAGAATAGCTTTTAGGCATATTAGACTAAAATAAAAACGTGGGGCCCCTCTGAAATCCTACCTATGGCAAAGCATATCTTTATACTTTGGTAGATCATGAGCTAGGCGTTCGCTGGTGAAGCCGCCACGGCTGGTTATTGATTGTCAAAATCTCCAGTTACGAATATAGTAAGTCGATGCAATCCACACTTAGTATAGAAGAAAGTATTACAGCAATTGTTAATGGGCCCCACGTTTTTATTTTAGTCTAATATGCCTAAAAGAAAAAGTACTAAAATATTTCTGAACTAGAAGCTCAAAATACCTAATTGTTATTATTATTTTCTAGTTTTCAGTGCACATAAGATAAAACCGTTTAACTTAAAAGTTTTTTTACCGATTTTTTATTTTAGACTTATTTGAAAAACGGCAAAGAGGAAATATATGTTTCTTTTATCGAGATCTACAAGCCCTGAAAATATTTGCACTTATTTAAGACTGACCCTGTATAAATAAAAACTATCTGAAATGGAAAATATAATAAAAGATTACAAACCCTCAAATGATGATGCTTCCGATGACTAGTGACGTAATCCTCATCTTGACATCTTCTAATCTGACATATCCTGGTCTCGGTGTTGGGCAAGCATTGGGCGTTAAGGTTGGACTTCCTGGTGGACAGTCCAGAGCCGCACTCGCTGGAACACACCGACCATCTGGAGAATGACGGCTGGCAAGATGGCGGTTGTTCTGCTAAAAATGACGAAGCGCTGTCCAGTTATAGTGTCATAATAAATGTTTTGAAGGATGAATGGTATCCACAGGGTGTCCCACAATTAGTGCGACAAACTCAAAGGGGTTGTAGAGGGCATCAAAACAAGTCATTTGAGTATAGGAACCCATGTCCGGAAATGTGCCGTTTTGACAGGAGGTGGAGTGAAACGTAAATTTCAAGTTGTATTATTTATTCAAAACATTTACAAAAACTGCTCAAAGTGCCGTCCATTCTGTTGAAGGCACAAATGCACACGCCTGTTCGCTGTTGATAGTAGGGCGTGCAGTCCGTGTTGGTACCTTAGTGCACGTCCAGTCAAGTTCCTTTAGCTGATTTTAATAATACCGGACATGGGTTCCTATACTCAAATGACTTGTTTTGATGCCCTCTACAACCCCTTTCAGTTTGTCGCACTTATTGTGGGACACCCTGTATACTCGTATACTACACACAATAATTAATTGTACTTAAAAAGACCCACTATACAATGAATGTAATTCTTAAAAAAAAAATAAAGTGGTAACTTTTCCTTGCTGCTTTGCAAGAAATCATAGGTAACTAAAAATATTCATTTTTTATAATGTTCTATAGAAACGAAAAAACACTTTTTTTTGTTAAAAAATGTTTCTATTGAAGGAATTTGAAGAAATCGTCAAAGAAATTTATTTTAATTAATAGTTATTTTTATACAAGAAGATAAAAGGGTATTTTATCGTTGATCGAAAAGATTAATCCACGAGCGATGAAATCGCGAGTGAATTAATTTCGGGAGACGACAATGCAATTTTATTAGCGAGTTACGTGTTAAAAAATATTCAGAAATTATTATTTCAAGGAATTTATTACGAGTAGGAAAAATATTGTGCTGGGTTGGCATTGGTTTCTATGTAATTTGACAAATAAATAAAGCTGTCTCTTTAGTTGTCAGTTTTGAGTCAACATTTTTTAATTCTCTTTCGTGTCGATGGCTGATTGAATTGGAGCCAGAAATGGCTCAAAACGAAATAAGTAAATTACCAACAGATATTCAGGCTGAGGCGACAAATGCCATATCCAAACTACTTCCATTTAAATCTCGAATAACTTATGAAAAGGAATACAAAAATTTTCAAAAAATGGAAGCAATTAAAAAACGTACGAGAAGAAATAAAGTTTTTAACATATCCTCGCTATTAAAGTATAATTTAATCTGCCCTTCCGGTTAAAGTACTATTTTATCTACTATTTTTGATAGATATAAAGCAATTTTAACAGTTGCTATGGAAAAAAGTACTTTTTTCAATCAATCCTGAACAATTTTTTCTTTACCATTATTGTATATAACATGAAGCACAGTTCTGTGGTATAAATAAGCACTTCTTCTATAGTATAAAGGTTATTCAATAGGACAAATATATACCGTCCTCGTTTTGCTTAAGCAAGTATTTTGCTAGTAAAAACACGTTTATGCTAACAAAGAGGTGACGATGCAAAACGTTTAATCAAAAGTAAATATTTAGCAATTCGGTATATAAATTGAGGGGGGACAGGACAGATAAACATTCATTAGGGACGACCACTGTTGAACACTGGACTAGATTTTTTCAACTACTGATTGAGAACTCCGATTATAATTAGAACAATGATTTTTTGAAAAGGTATATCAAAAGAGCAGTGTTAAAGATAAAGTCAGCATCGCCTCAAGTGAACTTTGACTCTAACGATAGTTTTTTTGATTTAAACTGGATTAAAAATAACGTAAAAAATTAACCTGTTACTCTTTTGTATCTACCAAATATGTTATTTAACAAACAAGTGACACAATATAACTTTAAAAAGCCGTTTTTATTATTTTATTCTGCAACTAGGTCAATTTAGAAGCCAAAATAACTGGTAGATGGTAACCCATTTTTCAGTGAAATTTTTGTCTGACGGCTACAGAGAGGAGGTTAATATTTTCAATAAATTAATAACTGTAAACGAACAGGTTTAAACAAACCGCTAAAAAACAGAGAAATGCCGGTTTAAATAAGAAAAAAACAGGCCAGTTATTTTGTACAATTTATCTTTTTTTTTGCAGTTGTTACATACTTAAACCTAGAATCAATATAAAATTCGTCAAAATTGAAATTCATACACATAGACTCCAGTTTATGCAGCTCCGTAAACATAACATAATTTATTCGGAAAGCACGCTTGCTCAAAGCTATCGAAACGAGCAATAAGACTGTAAAAGGATGAAGTTCTCTCGTGTCGCACCATTAAGATTGTTTGCTCAAAGGAGTTATCCAATTAATTGGCTCGGCTCAGACGATACTTCCAAAGATGCTTGTTAATTACGGATTTATTAATTTACAGGCGGCTACGTCATTAATCACGCCGAAGAAAATATGCCAAACCTTATAAATTTTCTTTAAAATTAATGGGCAGCTTCATTGAAAAATACGGTTAAGATTGTTTATGCGGATTTATTAAAAAACTATCATCATCATCATAGTTTTCATCTTATTCAATCATTTCTAATTATGGTGTAGCCTTGCTCACATATTTAGATACTCTCTTTGTAGTTGGGCCCACTGTTATCTATTGTTGGCTATCCCATCTCAGGTTTGATCATCCTGTAGGTCTCTTAATTCCTCGTCGGTACCATGTTGTAATTTTTGTGGTCCATCTATTGTCTATGTTTTGTAACTACACTAATCGCGAATCAAGCAGAATCGGCCGATCCCGAACTAAATTCTTATCTATCACGTCTTCTTAACTACTTAACTAGCACACGTTATCGCGAAAATAACTTATTACTTTACACTTGCTCTTGTACAATTTTGTAGCTGTGTTTGCCTTTTTATTTTGCAAAAATAACTGGATATATGTGATTTTCCATTAGAGCATTGAATTTGAGAAAAAGGAAACTTGCTGTATTGTCACTGGATTTCTGTACCATCGAATAGAAATAGAACTAAGCTAGTTGTAGCATCAAAAAGAGCATGAAAAATTATACTAGCCAAACTAGTTAACTCAAAATAAACATAAAAAAAATGCGTGATGATTTTAATTCAGTTATGGCAGAAGCTATTGATCTAGCGAAGCAATGGAGTACAACAACTCAATTTGTAAAGAAAAGGATGTCTCGCCCAAAAATATTCTTTGACGAAATTAATAACCATAATCAAATTCAAACAAATGAAGATTGGTTTAAAACAAACGTATTTTTTAAAAGCTTGGACATAATTATATTTCAAATAAAATCTCGAAATACTAGACTCAATGAAGTTTATTTAAATTTTCGCGCAATTTCGCCTGATGTATTACCTAACCCTTCTGTTTCTGATGAGGATATATATGAAATGGGTTAGGTTCTATCACAACCTTAAATAACTCGATGATATTGCCTATACGATTTCTTCTCAATTACTCTCCTTCAGGCAATGTTTCCGAAATAATTTACATGAAATCAATTGCATTTTTGAACACACTGAATTTATTTTAATTAAAAACCTTTCATCTTCTTCTAGTTTCAGCGAGATTTTAACAGCGTGTCATATTTTTCTCACCCTACCTTCTTCTCATTCTTACATTGTTTATTTTAATTTAGTTAGTTTTGTTGTTGTTTTTTGTTTTGTTTTTATTTATTTCGTATTTTTTATGTTTTGGGTTACATATTCTGTGTTGCAGTAATAAATAATACTATATAAAAATTAATTTGATAATGTTAACGATTTCTAACCTAAAATATGAGTGCATATTATTCAGATTAGTATATAAGTATTGAAATATGTAGGTGTAATAGGGGGCGCGGTAAAATTTTTGCACACAGGCCCGTGAGTCTGTTGTTACGCTACTAAGTCCATTGGAAAGCTGACCCGTTTATAATAATTGCACATCCAGCACCAGTTTGTGTTTTGGAGCCATCAGTATAAATGGCAATTTTCTCGTTGTACTGGTCTAGTATTATGTGGAAATTTTAATATTATTGGTATATTTCAGGCGATGTGTCTTGACGTTTGAGTTTTTTCAGGTCTAATATTACTTCAGTTTTAGGTATCAGCCATGAAGGATTTTCATAAGGAGATGTTCTTCCATTTGACGGAATAGCAGTGTTTCTCTCACTATATGGCTAGGATTTGCCAATGCCGAAGTGAGGTAGGATTGCGCTAGCTTGCTCCTTCTATATTTAAGGACCTCTATTCCCGCTTCAGGACATAGGTTAGTTGCGGGGCTTGTGTAAAAAGCTCCAAGAGCTTGCTTTAAACATGCATTTTGTACGCGGTCCAAGACCTCTAGGGTTAATTTGCAAGCAGCAGAGTATACCATCGAGCCATAATCTATCTTCGAACCAACCAAAGTTCGTTCTTTTTGCCCGGTGTCCTGCCTATTGCCATTTTAGGGATTTGACTCCGTGGATGACATCTATTACCTGGGTCTTTTGTCGTATCCAATCTATTATTTTACTGTCTCTCTTGGTTATTCCCAGCACAATTTCATTCCATTGAGCGTTGTGCGACCTGCAGTTTCCTTATGATGTTCGTTTTAAGTGTCCAGGTTTCGCATGCATAGGTCATGACTGGTAGTACGCATTGGCAGAATGTTTGCTTCTTTAGATAGTTGTCTTCTTTACGCTTTCTTCCATAAGTACTCCATGCTGACTTAATTTTTTTGTTGATTTCTGATAGTTGAGATCCCGAGCGTTATATTAGTTGTCCCAAATATATAATATGTCGCAGGCGTATAGAATAATCCGGCTTTTTGCAAAAAGACTAGGCATAGAATAAAACTCTTGTGATAGGATTTCTTAAGTCTTTTTGCAGAAGTGTACAGAAAATATCGTCATTGTTTAATATGCCTAAGCTTTTTAAACAAAGGAATTAATTTTTACAAAAAGCGTATATACATATTTTCAGTCACTTTGCAAAAAGCCTAATCAGAATTAGGCATATTAAACAATGACGATATTTTCTGTACACTTCTGCAAAAAGACTGCCTGTTTTCAGTCGTTTTACAAAATGTCAAATCGAGACCAAGCACTCCTGGCAGATTAAAAAATTTATTCAGCTATGAGCATAAGCATATTGAATAATTTACGCTTTAATAAAAATACCACATATTATAATACAAAATGATGAAAATAACTTATGTCAAAATTTTATTTTGTTTAGGTGAAAACAGCTTGAACCCTATTTCATAAATTATAATTATAAGTAACATAATTTTAACGATGTACTTAAACAGCCGTTAAACGGTAGCCTACTAAAATGCTGTTAATAGATATTGTGACGTCGTTCATGCCGACGGGAAGTAATGACTGGTTATAAGCATTTTGCAAGAGCACCTGTGGCTCCGTGGCTGAGGCTATCGCTTCGTAGGCGAATTGTCCGTGGTTCAAATCTCACGCCGACCAAGACTTTTTTATATTTTTTTTACTTATAGCGTAATCTTATTGCATTGGTTTCACTATTTTTGGTTGGATTGGTTTAGTTATTTGGCGGGTTGGTTAGCGTGGTTATTTGGAGGGTGTTAATTCATTGGTTAGTTGGTTATTTGGTGGGGTTGGTTGGTTTTTACTAATTTATATTTGTTTTTTATATTTTTTTTATCAGTGTCGAGGTTAGTTGCGTTGGTTAAGTTGGTTATTTGGTGGGGTGGATAGCGTTGGTCAATCCTTATAAAATTCCTATATTTCATAAAGCCGTCAAGTGCGTCACATCAACGACGTCATACCTATTAACGGCATTTTAGTAAGCTACCGTTTAACCACAGTTTATGTACAGCCTAACTTTAAATATAAAATATATTAAAACCTTAATATTGATATTTCGTTTAATTAGTATACTCTGTAATTTCATTCTGTGTACAGAGCTGCCTGTTTGTGGAACTTTGCTTCCTTTTTTGGAACTTTTATTCTTTTAGAATAAAATGAATTTAGATCTTTATAACAATCGTTCTTAACTATACTCCATTTAACAGAATTATCAATTTTTGTTACCATTATTTTCTAATTTTGAAAGAGAAGTTCGAGAAATGCCGTTGGATAAATTTAGGGGTTAGTTTTACTAATTCCGCGTAAATTGTTTTGTGCAATCTAAGTAGTGTTCATTAGACATTTTGCAAAGCGACTGAAAACAGATAGGCTCTTTGCAAAATATCTTTCTGTTGTTAAAAACGCCGGCGTTTTATAATATGCCTAGTCTTTTTGCAAAATGCCGAGTTATTCGATACGCCTGCGACATATAATATATACTCTTCTACTATTTCCATTGTTATGTTATTTATAGAATACATAGTATAGAATAGCTTTTCTTTCCACTAGTTCGTCGCACATTGCTTTAGTTTTTGTTAAATTCATTTTGAAACCCACTTTATTGCTGGCTCTATTTAGTTCATTAATATGTGCTTGTAGTTCTTTAGGGCTATTGGCAATTAGGACTATATCATCAGCGAATCTTAGATGGTTAAGATATTCTCCATCTATTTTTAATCTTTTGTTGGTCCAGTTTAGTTGACGGAAGATTTTATCTAGTGTTGCTGTAAACAGCTGTGGGGATTCGCTCCCTGTCATACTCCTTTCGCAGTGGGGAACTCTGGAGTTGTTAACAACCCCATTACAACTATAACCAAGCCTTTTTTGAAGTTTTGAAGTTTAATACTTTTTTAAGTGCGGAAAAATCTGCAAACCAGAGACCATATGCGGTACTGTCGAAGTGGTTAAGGTACCTTACCGACTAAAAAAAACTCCACAAACCGCTTTAAGTATCTCCCCGAGGAACTACCTTTCGTCATTACTTCTCGAGGAGGCGTGTGATGCTGTGATGTTTTAGTTACTTCGGCTAGCTTCTTTCTCTTTCATATCTATTAGTATCTCCATAAAAGTGTGAACATCATTCCAATTTTCTGGGGATCGAATCATTTCTGGAACTAGATCGGAAATCTTAATTTTATCGAATAGTTTTTTGTATAGCACTCTTCGTTCAGATGTCCATCGGTTACATTCATATGCTTCACCATATTAGCATTGGAGTCGCCATAGAGACATCTCGGGCTATCAGTTAACTTTATTTTATATATCCCATACTCTCTGTTTATCCAACACTCTATAGGTCCTTTGTAAGTGTTCTAGTCGTTTCAATACTTAACAAATACACATATACTTTACATATGCCAAAAATGTCAACAAAACCACTTGACAAAGTATTAAATCAAATTTAGTATCTGTAATGGAATATTTTGAAGCAGACAACAAACCAAGCTTGTTAAAACTTTGTCATGTGTTTCCGCCCTTAAATTGGTATTTTTTCAGAAGATCGTAAAAACTGTTTAGAATGAAGGACCCGTTTCTCTGGGAAAAACTAAATATTTTTCTGTTAGGTTTAAAATCCCACGTCCATAAATTAATATAATACTTGCTTTGAAACAGCTAGAAACGACTAGCATCAATCATTAAAGCTGTAAAACCCTAAATTTTAACTTCGAGATTATATAAGCAAAACCCCTAGAAAGCAATAAAACTCTAAGACGACACTCTTCTCACGATAGACCTCCCACGGGCCAATACAAACAGATTTTGGATAAAAACAAGTATAATTGTTAATTTAAATATTAAAGTAAAGTTCACGTAATGATATTCTGAAAATTAAGGACTGTCCTCCTTTTTTTTATCCAAAATATCCAAAATTATGTGAAATAAATAAACATATAAGATGAAACAGCGAAACCTAATGAAATCAAATTATAAATATGATTTGTTTTGGTTTTTTTAAGGACAGACCTTAAAATATACTTTAGTTAGGGTTAGTTTTAATCATGTGTAATTGTGTTTACGGTAATTATAATATTTACACGGATATTAGTAATAATTTGGAAAATAACGTAGAAATGGTCATAGTAACGACATCTGTGACAAGTAAAGCCAACTAGACCGGGAACGACAGGGTAGTTGAGGTTTTCTCAGACCAATCAGACGGTTCCTGAAAAGCGAACCCGAAGAGGATTTGAGAATGGCTCGGCTTTTGGTGGTTCCCTATTCTTTTTACCCGCCCATTTTAAATATTTCGAGGTTTAGGAAAATAGATTTTTGGATCAGTTCGGTACTGACTTTTAAATTAGACGGTCGAATTTTCTCCTGTAGATCTTATATTATCCAGTGGTTTCTTTTTTAATAATTTTAGTAAGTCTTCGATTTAAAGATTTTCTTAAATATTCAATTCTCAAGTTAGGAAATTTTAAACATTTCATGTATAAAGATTTTTAATTTGTTGTTTTAGATTTTCTTTAATATTTTTTTATTAACGATTTAAGACTTTCTGTTTGTTCTAAAGGCTTTAGTAAAAGTTAGATATCATCACACAAATGATTATTTTACAATTGTTCTTTTTATTAAATTCTAATTTAAATCCAATTGTTCAGTTAATATTTTTTTTTGACATATTAATTTTCTAGCAACGAAAATTCTAAGAGAGATTTGAATTGTATGCTAATTTTAGATAATTTAGATTAGACTAATAAGAAGAATATTTTGTATTTTTAACTTTATCACTTCTGAATTTTAATATCATTCTTTAATTATTTTTGATTAAATTTCTTTCCTTTTGTTTATATTTCGTTAATTATAAATGTCTTGTTAAATCTTTTTCTTTATTTTTATTTATTTATTTTCTTTATATTAAATATAGTTAGGTGTTGTGAAAAATCGGCATTTTATTTTTGAATCTCACCTTTTCTCTAAAATATTAAACTATCTAAAAGAACACTGTGATAACCGGTCGAGTGGTTTAATCTAAAGAATAAGTCCAAGACCGAAGCGGCAGATCTACAAGGGGACCAATGAAGTCTTCGACAGGTTCTTGTTGTTGATGAAATGCTGACGGATGTTGACGTAATAAGGTAAGTGGCAATAGAGTTTATAGTAACTGAATTTAGAAAGAACCCTTACCATAAAAGTGCGATGCCTGAATTTCTATTTTTAGCTGGCTATATTTAGTTTTTTTTATATATAAACGATAAACTATATTTACGCTCGGAAAAAACGGTGCTCTCATTAATCCAAGTTCTGCCTACCGCTCAAGACATTATTTTAATTATAAAAATTATATAAAGGCCACACTACCATGATAACGGACAAAATCTTGAAAGTTTTGTCACATATCCACAGAATGAAACACACAGAGAAAATTTTCTTTTGACTTGAGGAAAAAAGCAGGTAAAAAACTTTTAATTTATTGCTCCTAGTCAATACGAAGAAACGGAAATAAAAAGTAAGCACTACCTGTTCTGCTATCGCACATCCATTCTCTGCAGCACTGTCCGGCTACATCTACCAATCGGGGATGCTGACACTCCCGCGGAGATATATGTTCCTGGGGGCATAGACTCGAGCATCCGTATGTCCCGTTCTGAAAGTAGGGTAAAATATTTCCAATTAGAATTAGAAAAAAACTACTGAATATATCTGAAAGTGTATGTTACATGGCTGATGACACTGGTATTCGTATTAATAACTATTATTGAGTATATAAATATTGTATTTCTTGACAAACCCAAATGTCAAAAAAATTTCAGACACCAATTTTCATCCAATCAATATCGACGTTAGTTCAGTAATTATTTGAAAAAAATAGAAATAAAAATGAAACTTACAAACTTTTTTACTTATTTTTATCGGCAATAATCTCGGCAAAATATCTGCCGAAGTTTCCGAAATACTGTTTGGACCACCCTGTATTTGCGATTGCATAAACCAGATTTTGCAAATTATGTGAGTCTAAATAGTAACAAAAAAGCAAACGCGAGAAACACCACCACTCGACATGATTGTTACATAATGTTTTCGAATTTGCATTCGTATCTGAGACGATTTAGTCCGAATTGAAAAACTGTCGCTGTAAATAACGAGTTTTTTATTCAAATGGCGCCAGTATCGGAATGTAGACGAGGCGGTCGCCCTCCGACACAACAAAGGAAATATTTCACAGACACAATACGACAAAACTTTTTGCGTAAAATTTGACTTTTAAAACGCCCGCGCTGCCGGATCTCCCCAGATGCAGCGCGCCACTTGCAAAACTTTTAGCCACATACATATATTATAACATTTTGTGTAATATTACATATTTCGGTTGTTGGATTGAGTTTGTAGGGTTTGTATGCGAGTTTTTTACTTTATATAATAAGATCACTGATGAACATATACACACCGAAAAAATCTAGAGATATCATTTTATTAAAGTTAAAAATAAATGTTTTGAATAAACAAAACCGTCACAAAACGTCACCGTGAAAGTGGTGATGTTGCTGAAAGGCACACAGGGCGACATCGCATTACTACCCCTCAGCAAGATCATTTTTTACAATTAAATGCTCGACGCCGACCGACTCTTACAGCACCAGAGCTTAGTTTAGTTCTCCAAGAAACACATAATGTAACCGTTAGTCCTGACACTGTTCGCAATAGATTAAGAGAGGTCAACTTAAGAAGCAGACGCCCCTGGAGAGCTCAACCCTTAACGAGAGGAAATCGAGAGGTAAAATATTTGTGGGCTCAAGATCATGTTCAGTGGTCGAATGAACAATGGGCCAATGTTCTCTTCACAGATGAGTCACGCTTTGGAATTCATCCGGATTCGAGAAGGCTTAGGGTATGGAGAGAACCGGGAAATTTCATTCGGTTGGATCATGTTCTGGAAGTGCACCCTTATCAAAGTGGAACAGTTATGGCCTGGGGAGGAGTCCAGTTAGGCCGAAAAACCGATCTCGTTTTTCTTGAAAGGTTTCTAACAGGAATCACATATCGTGATTTAATTCTTGAGCCTGTCGTGTTACCATATGCCAATGATTTTGGGAGAAACTTCATTCTCATGCATGACAATGCACGGCCTCATACAGCCACGGTGGTAAGTGAGTTTATCAATGCTCATCAATTAAACATCTTACCCTGGCCGGCACAATCTCCTGACCTCAACCCCATCGAGCACGTATGGGACGCGGTCCAAAGAAGAATTTTGAGAATGGGTATGCCTCGTGAAACTCGTAGGGATCTGGTTCGGGCCGTGAATACAGCGTGGCAGGCTGTACCTCAAGAAGAGATCGACAACCTGATCAGGAGCATGGAGAGACGATGTAGGGCTGTAATGAACAGTAGAGGAGACTATACCCTTTATTAAGTAAAAATGGTTTTATCTTTTTTTAATTCACAGTTTAGAATAAAAAAAAATGTGTATATTTTTTTGAGTTCAATAAAAATCAAGGCAAATTTGAAAAATTCGGTAAATTCCGCATTTGTATTTCCAATACGTCCTGTAAACTATTTGTTAATTTTAATTTTATTATATCAGAAATGCAAATAATAAACTTACTGATGATGGCTGGATAAAATTGTAATATCCCTAGACTTTTCCGGTGTGTGTATGTCAGGAAACGTTTTATGTCAATACCTTAAAGATTGTGTGATCAAGTGACTAATATTTTTTGAAAAAAAAATTTTAATAAGTAAATCCTCCAAAGGGAATCACTGAAAATTACTTTTAAGTTCGAAAAATGACCCGCAAGGGAGCGCATCTTTTTTGCTCTATCTTATAAAACAAAGTGGCAGGGAAAGATTAAATTTACTTATATTAAAATAGAGTTTACTCTGGTTTGGATTAACAGAATTAAACAAACTAGATCCACTTTAAGAGAGTTCTTCTTCCTTAACAATTTGCAGTATAAATTTTGCCCTCAAAGATTTTAGCGTGGTAGTTGGAGGGCGCTGACCGACTTAGCGTAAACCGCAAAAATATACAGTTTCTAACGGTAGATATTAAAAGAATAAACCATACTCATAAAAACGATAGGTTACGTCAAGATATTAATATCTTTCAGCTGAATTGTAATGCAACCGAATTTCGAATGTTTTCTGAGAAAAAAGGACGTTTTATATTTTAATAACCCTCTTCACTATTTGACTTTGACCTACTTCGGCTTATTTCGCAAGTAATGTAGTAGCCGATTTAAACTAAACTAAAGTCTAGAAAAAATAAAAATCATACCAGCGACAATTCCAGTATTTATTATATTATCTATTTGTTCAAGTTGAGTACTACTTCGACCGCACATGGTCTACAATACCTGACTTCATTGTTTCAGCTCTTTATATCGAAGGTTACCATATTCGTATATATATATATATATATATATATATATATATATATATATATATATATATATATATATAAGTATATTACCGTAGTATACTAAAAAACATTTTACTCACCTGACATGCACATTGAGTCCTACAATCCAAATTAAATGTTTCTCCGTGATCATATGTCTTATTATAGACAACGCAAGGCACTCCAGAAGATTCTGTAACAAGAAACCACGTCTTTTGTCAGGATGGGTACATAAGAGAGACCGGGCTTAAAACTACAAAGTCGTTTTTCTGTCATTGCAGCCTTTTATGTTTAATTATGACGACACAATATACAATTAAAAAAGGAAAAATAAAGGTAGGCGTCTTTCATGTGCCTCGAAAAACTACAAAGAAATTATATTTTAAAAATAATAACGTTATAATGGTTTGGTATGAAGAACGGAAAATTGGTAGTATGTAAAAATGAAGAAAAATATGGCATTTAAAATGACGTTACAAAAAAAAAATTCTCTAAAGTTTTAATATCTTGTATCTTTAAAACTATGCATTTCCGGTTCCATGTCTATAAAAAAATCATATTTTATGATGAGGTATCACCCCCATCATGATTACTTATGGAACAGTTGCTTCGTACACAAAACTAGAGCAGCAAGGCAAAACCTGTGCAAAATTTCCAGAGACTAACGTGCATCTGCATCACACGAGTATAACTAATGTAGAAAGTAATACCTTTTATTACATTCCTACAGACATTCGAGATCATGATAATTCACTGAGTAATTTACTTATTACTATTAGGTTACTACCAAAAGTTATCAAAACACTAAAAAGTTCTTTAAAGCTCTTTTGTTAAGCGGAGCGTAGAACGGAGAGGACTGCAAAGCGTTTAAACGCATTGAAGGAAATCGAATCGGCTCCACATACAGGCAAGGCGTATTGCGGATTGACGCGTATTATTTTTCTATTCTTCTCTACGCCTCCACCAATGTTGGGCCACGCCCCTAGTCTTTTAAACATAAAAAGAAGAGTTTTGAAGTTATTTTCACGGTATAAATAACAAGCGGAAGGCGGCCGAACGAGCGCTTTCACGTGACCGATTTTCCTTGGTATCTCTTGCTACTTCGTAGTTACAGAGGGCAGGGTCAATAACACCGAAACGAGGCTACTGCGTACGAAAACTTTCTTTTTGTCACTACAAGACCAGGCTACTAGTAACGTAGCAAGTTACCGGACGAATTTACGTTTACCCGTTTTGCGCTCGTACTCGAGATTCACTGCCGGCTAGTCGGCTGGTCAGGCAGTACGCAGTTGCAGTTGTGCTTGGACGGGTCGGTCGTGACAGACTAGGAATACGACTCGAGGAGTGCCGGGTATTTATTATTTTCATTTTAAGTGTTTACCTTCACTTAAGGTAATATTTAAAATGAAAATACTTAAATATTTATTATTTGAGTGTGTTTAGCAGCGAAAACTATTCTCTAAACCCCAAAAAAAGCTAAAATATTACTCTAAATAAGAAAAAGTTATAACAAGTGTTCAAAAAGACCATCTACTTGTGCTAGACAGAGCCTAGGCGGTCGTAAAATCCCCGTCTGACATTGGCTAACATATTAGGGCTAATAGTTTGGAAAGCCTTTCGTATTTTTACTTGAAGCTCATCCAGATTATTAGCCCTATTATGACCATACACTTTGGATTTTATATAACCCCACAAAAATAAGTCATTGGGAGAAAAATCTGGTGATCTAGCGGGCCACAAAACAGTTTCATGTCCACTAATTAAACGGTTGGGAAAAGTATTGTTCAAATATTCTTGAACAATACGGGCATTGTGGGCAGGACAACCACCTCAGCAATTTGATTACTTAAAAACGTGGGATTTTGATCTGCGGTAGCACAAATGAACACTTGCTTTAACTCCTGTTCTTCATTAATCAACACATCAGGCTTTTTGTGTTTTTGTGGGAACACGCACCCATGTGTTTCAAAATTATTAATAACTCTTGATAAAGTAGGTAAGGATGGAATTGGCCTGTTTACAAAAGTTTGTGGAAAAATTGTTTGTATATTCCGATAAGACCTATTTTGGAAATACCATTTTAGAATTTGAATTTTCTCACGAACTTCGTAAACATCCATTATTTTACTTAAAAAATAAATTTTACACGAGAACTGTCGCGAGAATCTATGTATTCGTTTTGGTTATTAAAACACGAATAAATACTAATTCTGAAACATTCTTATCACATATCTGCTTATTTTTTATTTTATCGCATTTTTTCGCCTGCTTTTTGCCCGGCGGACGGGTATACGCTAATTCGTCCGGTTCTGCCTATGTTACTACTACGGTGGTCCGGTCTGTATAGTGCAGCTGTGCTTCCCTCGCTTCCATGGACAGTACGTCCCTGCTTTTTGTGCTTCATCTGTAACCTCAAAGATGCAACCTCGCTACAGGAAGTATCATTTTTACTCATAATAAAACAACATACTATTTTTAATTTTTCCGTTTCGTAGTTAGTAGTTAGTAGTACTTAAAAATCATCCTGTTTGTTAAATAAAATTTAAAAAGTAAATAATTCAACCATTCAAAACCGGATAAATCAAATTACAGAATAAAACACCGGACTACAAGTAAAGTACCTACTCTGCCAAAATAAAACCATTAAAATTTTGAAATTTCAGTTCGGAATAACGTCCGAACACTCGCCGAAGTAGCGCTAATGTGAAATTAGTCAGCGAAATGGGAGCGCTAATATGTCATGCTAATTTATATGAAATTTTAATATGGGAAAACACGGAATGCCCATTGCAGGCCTCGCCGACACGGAAATTTTCGCATATTATATTTAGTGTGGCGCTTTGTGCGGGTTAAAAGCTAAAAATACGCCTCATTTGAGGAATTATTAATTCAAGGCTGATTCAGAAACGTGCTAGGGGATGTCGGGCACACCTCGCTCTATCGATATAACATGACAAAATATGCCGAATATTTTATTAAAAAAATTATTATTTATATAAACTAGTATTATTGATATGTTTATAATGCAGACAACTTAAAAACACAAATTGTATTCTTTTCGAAGTACAGAATTAAACAATCATGAAAATAATAAATGATACAAAAACGTTTGTATTTCTCACAATTCACAGGGCCATGATTCACTTTTTCTTATTTTTCTGTTTTACTATTTATTTGATTTTCTCTTTAAATATCTCATTTCATAAAATTCTATACATATTAGTTCTTTTAAATATTGTAAGCAGATTTAAGATTATTTCAAAATTCTCATAAAGAATACCTATCGAGAAAATGCATTCTTTTGGATTCCACTTAATTTTATAATTAATAGATAATTAGTAGACTACTCATACAGAGCTGTCCCATATAGCACGTCCAAATGAAATTACGTTTCTACAAGGAAGACACATGAGAAACAACATATATTAAAGTGAACCTAAGTGTTCATCTAGTTCTAACATATACATATGAGATACACGCAGGTTTATATTGATAGAATTGTGTGACACAGTGTTTACTAGTTGTATACCGTATGCACTCAAAATTCTAAAGAATTTTTTGTAACGTAACAAATAATTATTAAAATGATGAAATCTGACGTCGGTATATGAGACATACAATGTATAAGTCATATGTATGTGTGATATTTCGTATCATAGTTGTGCCTATAGTACACACCTTGTAAAAAAGTGACGTATACACATAATATAAATATCTATATAGACACTTTGTAATAGTGTACTGTTGTGTCTACATTCTAGCATGAAATGAAGGTGTGCGCATGCGCGGATAGCCTCAGCGTAGATACACCGACCAAGTGTATCTTATGTGTCCTCTCTCCTTTCTCCTTTCTAGGAGTGGTATGTGTTAGCAGCCATTATTGTTTTATCATTCGGAAGCTCTATATAAATGTTCTGTTTGTGTGTAGTTTAAAAGAGATTTTAAGGTAAGTACAAGTTTTTAATTACCTTGTTACACCTTCCTAAGAGTATTATTAATATTATAGCAGCGACTCTTCCCTTGATCGATACCCAATTTATCAAATTTTGACTCCAATGAATGAAAACTCTAAATATTCTCGTATAATGATAAAGAGGTTAGCTGAGTTAGCTCTGCAATATAATTTTTTTTTAATTTGGAAATAATAAAAATCTAAATGGACCAGAGAAAGAAAGATTTAAACACTTCAAAGAACTTCTTACACTGATATTCGGTAAATTATTGATGAATCAATATACACAGATATGTTTAATATTCAATAATCAGTTTCATATAAAATTTAAGGGTGAGATTGTTAATCTGGAATAAAAATACAATAAAGTCCAACAGAGTGCTCGATGAATGGGTATGCTAATAAACCAACTGCTTGTAGGGAAAAGAGGAGAAAAAACCTGAAAAAATGACTAAACGAGGTCCACCAAATCGTGGCAATATACCAGTGTTTACCATTTTAGTATGTTGTTATACTAGGTAGTTATATTTTTAATACATTTTGATACAAATTCTGTTCTTTTACAGTGTTTTCTTACTTCTGGTTTCTGCAGTGTAAATAATAACACAGGCCGACATGATTTTTGTAACACGAGTCAGTTGCAGAATTTCTTCATAAAAATATGCTTCTAATAACAGAAAAAATACTCCTGAAGCTCCTACACGTACCACTTTTCAGTTGCCTAATTACGCCTCTTTTTTGCAGGTAGTCAATTTTATAGATGTCAGGTATGAAGTCTAGGTAGATTCGTTTACATACAGGTAAATTTTATGATGGGATGATTGAAAGGGACGCATTTTGTGCACCATAATATATTGTGAAAAACATAAGAGAGTTCAGTTTTCAGTTGATTTTCGACGTGAGTTGTTCTATGCGTGTAGATAAATAGTACGAAAATGTCAAGTCAAACGCGCCGCAGTTGTAAAGTGTCTCCTGATCGATTTTGTTACATTTGTGGAGAATTTATGGTGCAATCACAAGCCAGACCATTTTCTGAAAATGTAAAGAAAGCCTACTTCAAGTATTTTGGAGTTTTGGTTGGAGATCAAGACAAGCAGTGGGCTCCTCATGTGTGCTGCGTTACTTGTAGCGTGTCGCTTGTGCAGTGGATGAAAGGGAAGAGGAAAAAAATGCCATTTGCGGTTCCAATGGTATGGCGAGAACCAACTAACCATTTTGACGATTGCTATTTTTGCCTGACG